GGGAGGAGGATCCAGCAATCACCCCATCCCAATGACCTGCTGCCCGGGCGCACCACTCGCGGTCCAGCGGGCCCTCGATGCCCCCCCCCCTCCCAAAAAAAAGTCGAACCAGTAGTGATGCGACTCCCATCGCCCGATCGTCGTCGGCCGACTTCGGCAATAAACTGCTGAAAACCACCATGAGCTGCCATGGCCACGATACACATCTCTCCACTTCGTGGTACATGTCGCCTAGCGTATGTAAAGCTTGATCACGTAGGCGTCGGAGGTCGTTGATGCTGAGAGCCTCGCAGCCTTTGGCTTTCTTGGTGGAGATACGCTGTAGAATGTGCCTGATCTGATCAATTGAGATGGGTTCCAAATCTGTGTCCAAGGCTTTCTGACGGGCCTTGGCGAAAGCGTACATCACCTTCTGTTTGTCGAACCGTTTACTGCACCAGGCCTTTTCCCACCAATCCCGCTTTGTTGGCATGATCTCAATGGGGGTCGCCATGGTCCCTTGAGCCACCCGAATCTCATTCAGCGTGGTTGGCGGGTGCCTGATGAAGTCATAGAGTTTGCTTGCGGCGGTGGAGGCCATGGTGAGGATCCAGGAGCCGAAACCTCGCCGTGAGGCTGTGGCTGAAAACCGCTGTGCCCGAACTGCATTGCTCTCGATTGTTATCTTGAGCCGCGTTTGCTGGACAAGGGAAAGATGATTCATTCTGTGTAGGGTAGCCGTACATTTTCTCCTGGCCATCGGTGACAGGGGAAGAGCTGCTGAGGTAGGCAAAGTACAAACCAGCTCCTCGATGCGGCCACGGATGACCGCGCTCTTGAGTGGGCCCTCAATTTCCTCGAGACGCGCCAGAAGAATGGCCCACCACTTCGTGGCGGGGTCAGCCTGAACAGTGTACTGCTTTGGCGCCTTGATAGGTGCCACTCTGAAACGTCTCGCAACTGCTCGCCCAGTATACGAACTGGCCGTATTGGGTACACTGTCCAGCATTTGTATGTAGAAACTCCCAAACACAGAAATCCAATCGCCATACAATCTTCCAAGATGGAGGGCTGATAACTGCGCGACTTGAAATGCAAGAGATTGCTGGATGAAATCTGTCAGCTGGTTGGGAAAATCTGAGCCAGCAAGGTCAATACTGCACCAGACTTCATCACGAGAAAGTTGTTGCTGTAGTGAGGGGACCTGGGGTGGGTGCATCTCCTCATAGTGTACGTCCCCGTTGGAGGGATCCCGACCAGCCCCTGGGAGGGCCCCCATCCCCAGGTCTCCAGGGTCTTCCATCATGAGGTCGGGGGGCAAGTCCTGTTCATGCTCATCATCAGAAGATTCCTCCTCCAAATCAGCGAAGGTGAGCTTGGGCGGCGGCAATCCTGGGATGGTGGGTTTGGTGGTCAGGGCCGTCTCCGACTTGACCTGCTTTTTCTGCTCCGCATCTGCCGCAGTAGCTGCCTTGCGAGATCTTTTGCTAGTAGGGTCTGCCTTTTCCCCCCAGGAAGAGGCTGATGAGTGAAAGAACGCGGCGGAGAATAATGACGAGCTTGGACCAACTCAGCTCGAGCTCGGAAGTCAATCTTGAGTCCACGGTGCGCTTTGCCAGCTACTGCATTGCGGGCCACAATCACTGAGGTGTTTTGCTGTGAGGCTAGATATCAGAAGCCGCACATGCGGTGAGACAATGCCGTAGTCCAACATGGATCCTGAGCCGATGGTGCAAGTGTGTTCCTCGTCCGTCGGGACTACTGGGACCCCCCCAATCATGGCGGGCCACCCTGACTGCATCAGGGTAGACGGTGGAACGTTCCAATCAGCAAAGATGGCCCACGGGATGTCCAAGCTCTTGATGAAACTGCCAAGAATCGCGAGCTTCTGAAGACTGATGCCTCGAATGCCAATGGAGCAAGTACAATAAGCCGCCACAGTGCATATCGAGGTGCCGTTGATATGCCATACGATGGGAACAAAATCGTGGAAGTCGACGCTCTCCTTGGTGGAGGTGAGGTCTCTCATGCCAATCTGCTGCGCCTTGTTCATGGCAAGGTACCTGAAAGAGGAGGTGGTGAAAGTGGTCTTCATGCCCACAACCGCGCCTCCAGAAAGCTTGGTACGTTCAGTCGGCCTGGCGGGCGCGCAGATAGCCTTACAGCCATTCTTGCTCCAGTGCCAAAGAAGGTCATCCGAGTGCTCCTCACCAGCATGAGTCTCCACTTAGAGGATGCCGTCGTAGTGCCGTTCATCAATGAGGCCTTTGGCCGCAGGGCCCCAGGTCGAAAGATTGCGAAAGTAGAGATGCCACGTCTTCTCCGTCTGAGAGTGTTCTGGATGCTGCTTACTCTTGTAAGTTACAGTAGCGGAGCCACCAGCACCAGTTTGGGATTCACCAGGGGCGTGGTCAGGAGCTCGATTCCATCTGCTGCTGCCTGCGGGCGAGCTCCTTCTCGAAAACTGCCGATGCCGAGGGTTCCTGGGGCGCCGAGGGCGCAGTCGGCGCCCCCTCGGCCGCTGGAGTCGTAGCGGCTCCCGGCGCTGCCGCTCCTCCTGGAGTGGCCTGGGTGTCGCCATTGTTGTCCTCGGCCCGGCGGCGCTTGGAAGCGAGTCGATCCATCTGCTGCTGGTGGGCGGCTCGGGCCTCTTCGGCCTTGGTGGCCGCATCAGCGAAGAGCTTCTTGGCGCCCTCCTGGAGGCCCTTGACGAAGGCCTCCCGTCGTTCTTCTGCTTGCCGTAGTTCATCCTCGCCCAGACCCTCCTCGCCACCCATGGAGAAGACGTCGCCAAAATCAATAACAAAACCGTCGAGCTTATCTTCCAAGAGCGCCGAGAGGGAGAGTGTGGGCTTGGGTTCAGGTGCTGGGGTAGCTGAGCGAACCGAGGCTGCCAGCTTGTCGTATTCGGCCTGTAGCACGTCCAGGTGGGACTTGAGAGAGAGACAACGTGCTCCCAGTGCTGTTCCAGGTCTTGTTGCCACTTGTGGTACTTGTCCATGGCCCGCTTGAGTTTGCCATCTTGGTTGTTGAGGGCCCAACGTGCCCTTGAGAGACGGGCCTCGAGCGGCGGCTGAGGAGGAGGGCCCTTGTCGAGCTCGTCCAGCTTCTTCTGGCACGCATGGGCAAGATGTGTCTGGCCACAATTGGTGGACGAAGCCAACATCGCCACCAACTCTGAGCGCTCGAGCTGAGAAACGTCAACCTCAGGGAAACTGGCGGGGGGGCCATTGGCCCACTTGGAACTCGGGTCGACCGCTCTCCCGTTGTCCGAGGCGTGAGTGATGTCCTTTGGCTCCCACTCCCCACAGTGCTTGCACCACTGGAAGGAACCTGGATTCTTCGCGCATCCGCAGGAGAGACATTTCCACATGGGGCCTCCAGAGCGGTGCGGGTAGCATTTGCTTTTGGCGCCAGTGCGAACCCATGGGCTGTAGGTCCAACTCCAATCAGCAGAAGCAGGAGCAGCAGAAGGAGGCATGGCGCCTTTGTGTAGGATGTCGTGTCCAGAGCCGTGATGGGAGTGGCCTGATGGCCAAAGCCCCGATTGGGCGAAGCTGCGTGGCCTGGCGGCTCGCGCAGCGGAGCGGTGCAGAAACGAACACTGGCCGCGGACTAGCGGTAATTATCCATCTGTTTCCGCTGGGAAACCAAAACCTTGAGCCAAAATGGCTACGGAGAATGCCCCAAGGGGTCCTAAGATGCATTCAAGAGACCCCCAAAAGGCCCCCCAGAAGTCCCCAGGAGGCCACCAACAGACACCGAAACGCCCCCGCGTAGCCTCCAAGAGTCCCCAAGAGGCCCCATGAGACCCCAAGAGGCCCCGCAAGGCTTTCAAAGAACTTCCAAGGGGCTCCCAAGAGGTTTCAAGAGGCCACCAAAGAGCCCCCAACAGGCTCTTCAAAACCCCCGAGAGAGAACTCGGAAATGTCCCAATGGCTTCATTGATTCCTGCAAGTTCTCACGCCTCGAGTGGCTCAGCAGTCTGGTGTCAACCTCATGCAGCATTCATCCCGTTTCTTGTGGCCGCGCTGGGGTTTGCGCTAGAACCTAAGCGTGCGCGCGAGGCGCGCGCGTCGTTCAAGTACATCCCGATTTAAACAACTAGCGAGAGACAGAGAAATCAAACGAGAGAGAGAGAGAGCGGTCTCTCTTTCTGTCTTTATCGTTATCCTCTCTCTCTCTCTGCTTATAGTGTGAGTGTTCTCTCTCTCTCTCTCTCTTTTCTCTCTCTCTCTCTCTCTCTCTCTCTCTCTAGTTCGCCAAGCAGCACAATTTGCTGGGAATCCCAGGCGCGGCGCGTGGTCCTGGGACAACGTACGTCCATGACCTCGGGCTCGTTCGGGATCCTCACCGAGCTTGGGTCTTGTGATGCGCGCGTGCGTGTGTGATGTTGGGGCACTGCTCCGCAAGAAATCACTGCATGCACACAATAAGATATCTACGCTTCAAAAGGAGACAAGACAGTGCACAAGCATTGTACAACATCTACGTAATATGAAATGTGTTGGATATGAGATGGGTCCCCTGGCGGCACCTCTTGCGCGTGGAGTCCAGCGCCGATCCAAGAATTCCGCGCGGGCCTCTGAAAGCTCATGCTTATCTTCTATGGTGGGCACATTTTGGCGATCGTCGAGGCTCTTCGGAGGCTTCGGAGTGCGTGCACTCCCGGTGGTGCCCATTGATTGCTCATTTCGATTCCTCCGATTCGATGCGATTCGATTTCGATGGCTTCTGATTCCGATTCGATTCGACTTCGGATTCCGATTTGGGCTCCGATTTCTCTACGGAGGCCTACCAGCCTGCTTCCGCCAATTCGACTTTGCCCCACTCGGCTGCCAATTTCCTCCGATCCGATTTGTCGATTCGATGCTGGGCTCTCCTGCCCATGGCCGCTGTTGGCACGCAGGTGCGCACCGAAGCGACGTGCATCCCGTTGCCCACGGGCGCACACGCTCGCGCGCGCGTGCGCGAGCGAGAGTGTACGGCCGCGAGCCACGGGCACGGGGCTCGTCGCCCAGGAAAGTGAAGCTGCGCGCGTGCTACTTCATGGGCATCGGGACCCTGATGGTGCTCCTGTTCTCCGACCCCATGGTGGACGTGCTCTCCGAGTGGGGTGGCCGTGGCGGAAAATGGGGTTGCGCTGGCGACGGAGGGCCGACGTGTGCCTCAGCACCCACGTGTTCCTCTCTCCTCTCTCCTGGTCCCACGGCAGGGACGCAAGCCTCGGGCTCCGGGGGCAGTACGCGCCGGTCGTTGAGAATAGGTAGTTCTGAATCCCCAGATCCCAATCCAGTTCAAGCGCCTTCCTAACTCAATAACCGATATGCCTTTGCTGTGATCTGTTATTCTCTGGGAGGGCCTGAACCTGATATATGTCATCCATGCCAAGAAATACCCTGCTTGCCTCCAGGGTGCCATGGGTTTCTCGGGCTCCTATGGTTCTGCTACGGAAAGTGTGCCGTTCCCACACCGAAGATCAGTGGACGCCCGGGGGTCTCAGGGTTGGGTGTCTTGTGGAAGGTTTTTGCGGTGGAGTTCTTGCCGCATTCTCTGGGAGGGCCCGAACCCAACATATCTAATCCGCCATCCTGCTTCACGTTTTCGCCTACCTTTCTCCTCCTCCTCCTCCTCCTCCTCCTCCTCCTCCTCCTCCTCCTCCTCCTCCTCCTCCTCTCCCTCCCCCTGGGTGCGGGGAGGGGGGGAGGGACAGGATACGGAGAGAGCCGCCGGAGTCGGCAGATGGGGAAAAGGGGAAGGGGAGGATATGCGCTCGGGGCAGAGGAGCGGAGGAGAGGAGGAGAGGAGGGGGCGAGGGGGGGAAGAGGCAGAGGAGGAAGGAAGAGGAGGAGGAGGAGGAGGGAGGAGAGAGGAGAAAAGAGGAGAGGAGAGGGAGGAGAGAGGGAGGAGACGGACGAGGGAAGGGGGATGAGGAGAGGAGCCGAGGGCGAGAGGGGAAGAGAGGGAAGCGGAGGAAGACGAGGGGGAGAAGGAGAGAGGAGGATGTAGAGGGTCGCAGGGCAGGACACAGGGGGAAGAGAGGGAGGGTGACAGGGGGGCCAATGAGGGGAAGAACAGGAGCGCCACTCCCAGGAGGAGGGGTGGGGGAGGAGGAGATGGAGGAGGAAGTCGGAATCGCCGTGTATAGGCTCATAGGTTCCGATGGAGGTAGGGGAAAAGGGAGGGTAACTCTGACCCCGTCCTAACCTAACCCACACTCCGAACTACAGCCTCGCACGGTTTTGGGGCATCTCTGCGGTTTTCATGAAATTCGTTTGCAAGTGTTATTATCTCGTGGCTACTGCTGCATGAGCATGAAGCCACTTGTTCACGCGTTCTAACGCTCCCGTCGTGTGGCTCGAACCTGACCAACGCAACTAGCAGCAACGATGACGACGAGAGAGGAGAAGTTATTTCATCGGTGTGGGTTGTTTTTTCAGCGACGTTCGGTAGTGCGTTTGTTGAGTCATGGTGGCTCCTGGAACTCGGGAGGAGGGAGGAGGAGGGGCAAGAGAAGAGAGTAGGGGAGGAAGGGCAGTTCTACTGGTTTTTAGGGGGGCACTTGAGGACCTTTCCCACCTCCACCTGCTCTTCTTCCCTTGCTTTTCATCTGGCCGTGCATCGATCTCCGATAGTGTTGTCCTTCTTCGGGGGCAACTCGCCAGATCCCCTTCCCCCCCCAAACCCTCTTCCGACCACGTACCTCCCCCCTCTCCGCGCCTCGTTCACCGTTTCTTCCGCGTCCTCCGCCCCCCGTCCCCCTCTTCCCTTCACACCCCCCACACACCACACCAGGGCGGGACCGAAACGCTGTTTTGCTGGACTTCGGCTGCCCTGCCCTGCCCCACACCCACCACGTGCACACACACACACACACCACCTTACTTGCACAACGAACACCAAGCCAACGTGATCCATCCCAATGTGCATCGTTTTGCCGTCGGCGATGCAAAATGCGTGGCAGGAGCGTGACGAAGCGCACATCGCGCGCGAAAGGGCGAAATGTTTCTCTCGCCACGCCGCGCTCATCTTTCCTGAGAGTCGGGCTCTTGCTTGGAGGCGCTCAAGCGGGAGCTCAAGCGCCGCACGCTCTGTGCGTGAAAGTGGCGGTGCTGTTCCGGCGCGTCGCATGTTTCGTCTTCGCCGCGATCATCGGAAGTTTCGGCCGCCCGACAGAGGGATAAGGTGTGTTCCCGCTCCTCTCTCAGCGTGACCCGCGATGTTGTCCTTTTGTCAAGTCGTCGGAAGCGGGACCGCGCGCCAGCGTCCTCAGTTCACCAGGTGGGAGCGCGTGCCGATCCCGATATCAAACCGTGCCACGAGAATCAGAGTTGTGGTATGTGAGGGAGGGTTCGGTGACGCGCTCCACCTGGCCAAGTTGGCGCACACGCTCATGCTCCTCCTCCATCTGCCCTGCAGGCGGGCCTGTCCCTCTACGGGAGGAATATCCAAAGATGGTCAAAGAATTGTCGGGGGTGGCGATGTTTCGACTACGTTTAGCTATTTGTGCATAACATTTGGAGCATTTCTTTCGTCCGGAATCCACCGCCTGTAGGGGGACACGCCCGACTTAGATTCACCCCCTTCCACCTACACCACTTGACCTCCAGCGTCCACCAGCTCACAACTCAGCACCCCGACCTCGGCAAACAAGGACTACAGGCACTGAGGGCCCCGGCCCCCCCGCGCAGGCCCTAAAGGGCCCCGCTCCCGGCGGAACCGCGCGCTCGCCTCGCTTCGCCCCGCCCCAACGAGAGGAGTGGGGGGAGGGGTCGGGGCGCCCGCCAGGTGTGCGCACGGGCGTGCCGAGCTTCTACGTGTCCTTCGTCCTGGCGCCCTTCGCGTCGAACGCGAGCGAGCTGCTGGCGGCGTACTCCTACGCCTCCAAGAAGACCCCGAGTGCCAGGGGGGGGGGGGGGGCAGCAGGAGGAGGAGGGGGAGGGCGGGCGGGGGAAGAGGAGAAAGAGTAGGAGGGCGGGCGGGGGAAGAGGAGGAGGAGGAAGAGGAGGAGGAGGAGGACGAGGAAGGGCAGGAGGAGGAGGAGGAGGGCGGGCGGGGGTCGGGTGGTCTGGAAGAGTCGCTGGTTGTTCTGGGAGAGCCTTGGAGGTGCATCGGAACGACATCGAGGACCATCGAGCGGGCGCCCGAGGGGCGCTGGAACACTGAAAGGTGTTGCGTTTGTGCATGCACTATCTTGTGGAGCCCAGCGCCCCGGCGCGAACGGCCGAACGACCCGTCATCCAAGACACGTTGTTGACGCAGCTAGCGGCCTCGACACTGCACGTTGTATGCAGGTTGTGCAAAAACATCACAGAGCACACTCCAGCGTGCCAATCTGGCGTGGGAGGACGAGGAGGGGGAGGAGGAGGAGGAGGAGGAGGATCAGGAGGAGGAGGAGGAGGAGGAGGGGGAGGAGGAGGAGGAGGAGGAGGAGGAGGAGGAGGGAGGAGGAGGAGGAGGAGGAGGAGGAGGAGGAGGAGGAGGAGGAGGAGGAGGAGCAGGAGGAGCAGGAGGAGCAGGAGAGGTAGCACAAGCAGGAGGAGGCGAGGAGTTGTCGCAGACGAGGGCGGAACATGACTAGATGGCAAAGGAGGACGAGGGAAGGAAATTGAGCGATAACAAGGAGGAGAAGGAGGAAGAGGAGGGAGGAGAAGGAGCGGAGGAAACGGATGATGAGAAGCATGGCGACGACGACGACGACGACGACGACAACGTCGAGATAAGTGAAAGATCGAGGTGTGATCCAGGAGGGTGGGGGGAAGAAATAGGTAGGATGAGGAGGAGGAGGAGGAGGAGGAGGAGGAGGAGGAGGAGCGACGAGGAAGAGGAGGAGGAAGAGAGAAGGAAGAGGAGGAAGAGGGGAAGAGGGGGAGGGGGAGGCGGAGGAGGAGCAGGAGCGACGAGGAGGAGGAGGAGGAGGAGGAGGAGGAGGAGGAGGAGGAGGAGAGAAGGAGGACGACGAAGAGGAGGAGGGGGGGGCTGAGCGCCCCAATCGTCACCCACTCCTCCCTCTCCTTTAGTGGGGAGGAGGAGGAGGAGGAGGAGGAGGAGGAACAGGGGGGGAACAAGAGGGAGGTGTCGGAGATGGGGAGGGGGTTGGGGGGGGTCTCGCTGATCCCCCTCCGGCTGCCTCCCCCATGCCCCTCTCTCTGCTTCCTCCCTCCTCATTATCCTGATGTTCCTCCTCCATCTCTCTCTCTCTCTCCCTCTCTCATCTCCTCGCTGATCCCCCTCCTGCCTCCCCCATTCATCCCTCCTCCCTCCTCTTCCCCCCTCCACCCTCACCACGCCTGCTTCTTCCCATGCCCCCTCTGCTTCCTCCCTCCTCCATTATCCTGATGTTCCTCCTCCATCTCTCTCTCTCTCTCTCTCTCTCTCCCTTTCTCTCTATCTCTTCTCCTCCTTCCCCTTCCTATCGCTCTTTGTCCCTGTTCCTCCCCTTCCCCTTTCTCTCCTCATTCCTCCCTCCTCCTTTCCCACCCTCCCTCCCCTTCCTTCCTCCCTCCCCCTTCTTCCTCCACGCATCCTCCCTCCCTCCCTCCCTCCCTCCCTCGTCCTTCGGTCTCGTCGCCACGGCTGGGCTCGGCTCGAAATCTTGCCAGGATGGTGTTCGGGGGGGGCCTGGCTGAAGCCTCAGAGAAGGCCCCGGAGCGCTCCTGGGCACGTGCACTGCCAGCACGCGGACCACAGAACGGTGAACGCCTGGAAGCCGTGAATCAGGAGGGAGATTGAATTTTCGAAGAAGAGAAAACGGCATGAGCATAAACTTTTGGCGCTCCGCGCGGATTTCTTGGATCGGCGCCTGGGTCTCCTCAGCGGCGCCTCCGGTGCCGCCCCTTGCGCGCTCCGCGCGCCAGGGAGGGGGGGGGTCCAGCGCAGATTTAAGAAATCAGCGCGGAGCACCAAAAGTTTATGTTTACTTCCTCTACACGAGACCAGGGCGCTGCAAGCCAGGAATCTGAAGTTTTCGGCCGGAACGGAGAAGTGAGGATGCTTCGACCTGCGGCTGTAGTGATCCGAGGTATTGCGGGGGGCCGGTCGGGGTCAGTGCAAGGGCCGACCAACATCCCGCGCCGTGGTTGGGCATCGAAGGCGATCAAACGGCACGAGCATAAATTTTTGAAGGGAAGGTAATCGTGGATCTCTCGGATCTGCGATGGCCCCCCCCCTGGCGGCGTCTCCGGCGCCCCCCCTGGCGCGCTCCGCGCCCCAGGGAGCGGGGTCCAGCGCCGATCCCAGAAATCCGTGCGGACCTCCGAAGGCCTTTCGTCAAGACACTGAAATCAGGACCATTTTGGGCTCAGGAGGGGCTTTGGTTTCCCGGCAGTTCTTTAGAGATGGGTCCTATGACACATTCGTGACCGAGGCTCGCCGTGGCCAGAAAGACCCCTTCGTTTTTTATTCGGCGATCCTGATGGTAGCACGACGGCTGCAGAGCCAGTCGGGCCTGTTCGGGGTTGGTGGCGGCCCAGCCTGCGTTCCGCCGGCAGCTTTTAGGCAAACAGGGCGGCGGGGCGAGACTGAGCCGTTCGGGCTCGTTGGCGGCCAACCGAATCCCGCCTGAGCGAATCAAGCATCTCGAGAGCAAAGTGAGATTCTTTCAGCACAAGCACTGTTTGCAGAATAGTCCTGGTTACAGGAGGTTCGTGTCGTGTTTTCGCGGCGGGGAGCCCGCCGCGGGCGTTCAAGATCGAAAGCCGCCAGTGGCCCAGAATCGGCCAATGCGGAACCATATGTGGCGATCGACAAACCGCCGATGTCGAGGTTGAACGATCGACGCGGTGTCAGAGACCAACGCTGGGGTCGTCACAAGACGAACTTGTCGTACCCTCGATCCTCGGCGACATTCGGGTATGTGTTTTGGATTCGGCCTTGGACTTGTGATGGCCGCGACTCGGTGCGCGCGGGGTATTTTGGGTTGCGTTGCACGCTGATGATCCACACGTTTGCCACTAAGGTTCCATCACGAATTCGCTGTCCTCGCTGCTCGGCGCCGCGTGCATGAACAATACGTTCTGCTTAGGGATCTTCCTGGCATTGTGCTACTTCCAGGCGAGCTTTGAAGGAGGATGGTGGGAGGCAGATCAGCGGAAAGGGTGTAAGGACACAAGATAAGCATTCGCTTGCCAGCCACAGCGTTAAGTTGATGACCGCATCGGTAAAGTTGTCTGTGTGTAGTTGGTTTGTCTCAGAGAGGCCCTGTCGTCATCGCAGCTTGACCCACAGTCGGCAGTGTTCTAGGCCAGATCAGGCCCCCGGAACTCCCCAGGAGGCCTTCAAACGGACCCCCCAAAAAGCAAGAATCGTCTGATCCCCATGAGGAAGACGCACATTGTTTGCATACACGCTTTGTTAGTCTGAGCAGCGTGCAAGACCGCCCAAGAAATGCGACATCGCCCCAACCGGCCCAAGATACTCCCAAGAGCGCCCCCAGACGGCCCAAGAGGGCGCCAAGAGACACCCAAAAGGCTCCCAAGAGAGCCTAGGAGGGCTATGGGAGGCTCCCAGGAGGGCCCAAGATGGCTCCAAGACGGCTTCCAGAAGGCCCTCGACCCCTGAGACGGCCCAGGACGGCCAAAGGGGGCTACAAGAGGGTCCAAGAAGCCCCCAAAAGGACCTTCAAGAAAGCTTCGAGAGGCCGTATTTATTGACGGCTCATCAGGCCCTCAAGATCGCCCCAAGACGGCATATCAGGCTTTCAAGAGGGCCTCCCGACGGCCCAAGAAGGTCTCCAGACGGTCTACGACCTCTGCGACTTCCGAAGGCCTCCTCCCGGGGATGGTTTCTCGTCCCGACTGGACGGCACAGGATCGAGGTTCGAGGTTCGACGATCGAGGTTTTCCTACCGTTTTCGGTCCTTTCGGAGCCTCTCGCGTTCTCGTCGCCGCATGGCAGGGTCCGCATCGAGATCCAGGTCCACCGCAACCCAAGAATACTCCGGGGATCCAGCCGCAGTTCAAAGGCCACGGCGGATGGCGCGAAGAGTCACATTGCGCGAAGCTCGAAGGACCAAGGTGCGTTGCGCGAAGCGCCAACGCAACCTTGTATATAAATGTAGTTAGACGTATGCGAATACATATATATATATATATACATATATATATGTGTATATATATATATATCTGGAGAGAGAGATACGTATGCACAGGCACTTCCAAGGCACACTGATGGCTTCTGAGCTCGGAGAAGGCTTGGGAAGCGCGGCCGTCTGGTCCAAGTGCAAGGACTGGGCCCAACGAGTTGACCAATTGCATGGTATTGATTCGGATATACATTTCGGGCTGATGCTCCTCGATGCGCTCCTCCATCCCTCCCCTCCTGCGGCTTCGCCAACTTCTCTTGACGACATCCCTCTCAGGGCCTCGCCTGGCAGTTCACTGCAGAGACTATCGCGATCATTTTCGTCCAGTGGCTCATCGGAGGCTTGGCGATGCTCAAGGACTCGCATCGGGCAACGCCGAACAGGGACGGAGTACGGCAGTTGAACAAGAGTAGTGCAGTGAGACAGCCTCAGCATTCTCATCTTTTCTGGAATGGGAACGCTGTTGGAGGACATGGCTTTGCGGCCACCGTGATTCGCTTCAGCGGCTCAAATTGGCTAACGGAGTTTTGGGCTGCTACCCCGCGTTCGCACTTCGTTTAGGACCTTTACACACCTCTTCCCTGTATTTCACCTCCCCTGCCCTCCCCTGCTCCATCCCGCCGTCCACACCTCGTCCCCGCTTCCCCCCATGCACGCCTCTCCCTTCCCCCACCACCCTCACGTTCTCTCCCCGTGCGGCAGCAGAGACAGCCGCAGCCCATCCACACGGAAACTCTTGCCTCTGGGAACCCGTCCAGATCAGGTTTGCGGTGGGCGGGGTTCGTGGCGGCGCGGGCTGGCTACAGCGCAAGTGGATGATTCGTTTGCGTGAGGGCCACCAGCACAGATGCCCTTCGGGAGCAGCCTAAGGGGGCCCTGTATGTCCTCGAAAACCAGTCTTCACTGTGCACCAGCGTGCGCTAGCGTCTGGCAATCGATGAGGAAGCGCCGAACTAGCTTCGATCAGCGCCGACTGCGCGTCGATTAGCGTCGATTCGCTAGGGCCAGCAAGACGACATGGGAGGCTCCCATGAGCTGCAACAGAACATACTCAGAGTCTTTTCACAGGCGTGTTGGGGGAACCCTCCAGCAGGGATCAGCCTCGCCAAATTGGTGCACCACGCCCGAGGTTGGAGCGCCCCCGGGCGCGCGGTGGCTGTCCGCGACGGGGGTCGGTTTGGGCTGTCAGTCGGGGTGACGCCCTCCCTCCTTCGGGCTGCTGTAAGACATGCACAGTAACAATGCGGTATGCTTCCTTATTTCGACGGAAAAAAGCAGCTGTAGAAACATACATTTTCGAAGCTCCGCACGGGTTTCCTTGATCTGTGCTAGGCCCACCCGGCGGCACCTTTGGTGCCCCCCCTGGCGCGCCCCGCTCGCCAGGGAGGGCGGTCCAGCGCAGATCCAAGAAATCCGCGCGGAGTTCCGAAAGTTAATGTCTATGCAGTTGTGTGTGCCTCTACTCTTGGAACATAGGGAGGCAAGGGGAACTTGGAATACAGAGAGAGAGAGAGAGAGCCCATCATGTAGTCAATATGTCGCCATCGTCAAAGCTGGGTACCTTTCAAGTGGAACTCAAGAAAGCAGCTCACGCAAGTGAAGAGCAACTTACATCTTAGGGTAGATTAGCCTCGTCTTCCAGGCGACGTAACCATCCCCACCCCCTGTTTGCTCCAGCACAACATTCCACGAGTATCCAGCTGCTTGCGGCAGAAGCCACCACCGTGCCAGCGCAGAAGCGCAGCCGGATGTAGCTTGAGTTATAACCGGTCTGGTTCAGCGCCTTGTCTACTTCACGCGCGGATCTTAAATCCGCCTCCCTCCTTCAGATTCCCTCACTGCCTGCCTTGCCCTCCGCGAGAAAACAAAACTAGACGGACGAAGACCAGAAAAGGAAAGCGTGCAAGAGCGGGTGCGGTTCCGAGAGGCCTTTGCGGAGGAGGCTTTGTGTTTTTGGGGGGTGGCGTTTTGTCGTTCGCCTTGGCGGATTCCGCATCCTCTGTCAGGTTGGCGAGAGATTCCTTTTGATGGGCGCCACCTTCCCCACGAAGCGTCTGACTTGCGAGACACCTACTTCAGGGCTACGCTACATGCCTTGCCCCCATCCTCCTTGAAGACATGAACTTCTGTTGTGAGCGTCTGGGGAACATTTTAGGGGGTCTTTGAGGGGCGTGTTGGGGGGCCAGATGGATGCTTGTTGGGCATCTCGGGGCCATCTCTGGCGCGATGGTTCCACAGAGCTCTCCCAGAGAGGCTCAGCGGAACCACCTCGGGCACGTCCTGACGGATCTTGGAACCGTGCTGGAGCATTCCCGGGCCGTTTCGGGGACCTCTCGGGCAGCACCGGATCTCTCCTGGGCTTGCTCTTGGGCTGCCTTGAGTAAGTGTTGCTATTTTGTGAAGCCTCCGTGGGGCGACCTGAGGCCGAAGAGATTCGGAAGCAAAGAGGATGATGTTCCACAGGGTGCTTCAAAATCCAGCTGCCTGCGGAGAACCCCGCCACCGAGCCTGTGCAGCAGCGCAGCAAAAAGGAGACCGAGTGTGGGAACAGCGCAATTCCGACGACCAGTCTGAAATGGGACGGGCCGTGAACTCGCCCTCGTCTCCGTCCGCGCGGCAGGGGGGAGATCGAGTTCACGCCCCGCTGCAGTTCAGCGAGCGGTCTGAGTTGAGGCAGGCCGTGAACTCGACATCATCTTCATCCGCGCGGTAGGGAGAAGGAGGAGGAGGAGGAGGAGGAGAGGAAAGAAATGCAGACGATGAGGAGCAGGGCCCCTTAGGGCTTATCTTGGACCTTTGTGGGGGCCTCGGGGAACCTCCTCAGGGGCATCTCTGGGCCGTCCTAAGAGGCCCGTCTGGCGCCTTCTGGAGGCCGTCTTGGAGGTCTCTCTCGGCCGTCGTGATGCCCTCCTGGAGCCCTTCAGGCCGCTGCGGTGCCCGGCGCTCGGGCGATCGTCGGGGTCCCCTTGGGCCGACAGGGGGGGCTCGTTTATCGCTATGTTGGGGCCTGCTTTGGCCGTCTCAGGCGGTCGGGCACTCGAACGGGTGAGAACCCCCAAATCCATCCAACACCTACGGCAGCGCATGGTGTGAGTTGTTCCCTCGAGCTTTTCTTGGAGGGCATCGTGGAGCCCTCTTGGGCCATGTTGGAAGCCTCTCGAATCGTCTTGGGGCCGTCTGAGAGCTTCCATTGTCTTTTTGGCCAGTCTTGGTGTCATCTTGGTTGTGTTTGAAGCCGTCTTGGGGGCCTCTTGAGCCGATTGGAGTCCGAAAAGGGCACTGGAAAGCAACTGCAGGGAGACGGTGTTCAAATCATGCGTGCGAGTAGGGAGGAGGGTCGGCCGTAGAAAACAATAAAGCAATTCTTGACGCTTCGCGTATCCCCACCAGCCCATCCAGTAACGATGCCCAGGCGAATGGAGGTGATCAGGGAAGTGAGGGAGCATACAGAGTAACAAAGGGCTGGGGAACCCGTCTTACCCAAGACGGCGAGGATGGAGGAGGAATCGGAGGAGGATGAGGAGGAGGAACTGAAGGAGGAGGAGGGGGAGCGGGAGGAGGGAGGAGGGAGGAGGAGCAATAGGCGGATGAGGAGGAGGAGGAGGAGGAGCAGGACGAGAATGAGGAGGAGGGTGAGGAGAAGGGCGAGCAGAATGGCCAGAGGCCTCTTGGATGCCTCTCGGAGTCTCTTCGGATGTCTCTTGGGAGCGTCCTGACGGCCTCTTAGGGCGTCTTGGGAGCGTCTTCGCGGTCCCGGAGGCCTCTTGGGCGTCTTGGGTGCCTCGGGGAGCCTCTTGGGGACCTCTTGGGGCCATCTTGGGGTCATCTTGGGGCCATCTTGGCGCCTCTTGGGGCCTCCTGGGCGCCTCTTGGGGCCATCTTGGAGGCGATCGATCAAAGAAGAGGGTGGGGTTAATTAGCCCTCCCCCTCTAGATCCTCTAAAATGGCCTCTTGGGCTCATCTTGAGGCGCTCTTGGAGCGCTCTTGGGGCCGTCTTGAGGCTCTCTTGGGCCCCTCTTGGGGCTATCTTGGGCCCTCTTGGAGCCATCTTGAGGCCTCGGAAGGCCATCGGAAGCGAAAAGGCGAGAGAGCAAAAAACATTGATTTTTCTTTGGTGTTTGAAGGATTTTGGCCTCTTGGAGGCCTCCTGGGAAAGCTAGTTGGCCTCTTGGAGCCGTCTTGGGGCGGTCTTCGGGCCTATTGGAGCATCTTCGGAGCCATCTTGAGGCATCTGAGGCTAGCTTGAGCAATCTTGGAGCTCATCTTGGGCTCCCCGAGGCGCTCTTGGAGCCACCTTGGGCCATCTTGGACGCTCCAACTACCAGTGAAACCTCCCGTCCAGGTCCAGGGGAGGGGGTAGGGGGAGGGGTAAACCCCTCCCCGAAGGGGAAGAAAGGGGGTTGGAAGAGGAAACTCCCTAAACCACCTACGCCCAGAGGGCTGGTGGGATTTCCAAGCAGCAAGACGAGCATTCTAACATGCCCACTCCTCACAGGCAACGGTGGCGGATGTTGTTCGCATCCGTGGGCCTCGTAGGAAGCCTCTGTGGGCGTGTCTTGGAGGCATGTCAGGGCATACTGAGAAACTCCTTGTAACCTTACAGTTTGTAGGAATTCGTTGGGCTGTCGTTGAATACTCATGGGGCGTCTTCCAGGCGTTTTGTTTTGCGGCTGTCTTTGGCAATCCTGGCTGAAGTCACCCAAGGGCCGCTACCAGTTTGGCACAATATTTGCCGTTGGGCATTCTACCTCCAGGAGGCCCAGTGAGACCCCAGAAAGTCCCAGTGAGCACAAGGAGGCGTCAGGGAGCTTCAGGGAGGCGCCGCCAGGGAGGGCCAGCGCAGATCCAAGAAGTCCTCGCGGACCTCCGACCAGTCATGGTCATGCAGATCCTTATTCTCCTGCTTGCTCTTATGATTAGTCCTATGTGTGTGCCTTCTTTCTGTTACCTGGACTCTTCTTCAGACCACTACCGGTATTAGTTTGATCACCAGCGGTGTCGTGAAAATCTCTCTTCGTAGTATGTATTCGTCGTATTCCTCTTGTTCCTCTCGCTCGATTGTGTTTACCCTTCCTCTTGTTCTTCGACCCCTCTGAGCAAGCCACTCCCTTGCGTTCCTCCTGCCCCGCTCCGGCGCGCCCTCCCTGGGCACCCGGGCCGCTGGCGCCCGCTCCGTCGTGCCCGACCGCGCTCGGGCGCGTGTCCGTCCGACGGGCGACACGACCACGGCCTCACATCCTCTTCCTCGGCCTTTCGCCCTCCTTCCCGGGGCTCGCTTCGATACTCCCGATCCGATTCGATTCGAGTTCGGTGGCTTCCGACTCCGATTCGATTCGACTTGGGATTCCGGTTTGGGATCCG